CCTTTGTGCACCAGTGCATCCACACGCCAAGCGATGCTGTTGCTCTACGGAAGGGCCCAAAGCAGAACACTTCATGGAATAGTTTTTTCCCAGGGTTTGGGGGGTCAATAAGCAGAGCACATTAGCTGAAGACAACCAAAACCAGCCCTCAACCTCTGGTTTGTTCTATGTGGACAACTGTACAGCATTTTGAGGTCCAAGAGCTGTGAGACCTACGGACAGGTTGCCAACGTCCAAAAGGTGAAGGATAAGTCTCCAGATAACAGGCTGGATGGTCACCGCTAAATGCATACACAGATGATGATTTAAGGAACCAACTGGGAGTTTATTTCTACTTCACCAGAAGATTTTAATCAAGGTTGGGCTGTCCGAGATGACTGATCACCTTCAGATCTTCCCTCCATCCCCGTTTCCCACGGCAGTGCCTACCACCTATCGCCTCCGAGCGAGTGCCGCTGCTGCTTGTGCAGTGGTAACAGCTTTGAGGAAAGTTTTTATATCTGTCACTGGGCAAAATGGTACATTTGCCCCGAGGGGAAGTGAGTCACCCAAATATATGTACACAATATATGATTTCTGTCACCCCCACTTCCAAGGTTTTATAAGGCTACGGAGCGACACAGAGCGGGAAAGGAGGGAGGAGGAGGGGAACAAAAAGCAATGCTTTATCAGATCCTTCTAATGATTATAATTAAACACTCTGTGCCGAAAGAGAGGCAGAAAGGATGGATCTATCCAGATGGTACGTGAACCGCTTTGCAAACTGATCTGAACAATGTCATCCCGGCCAAATTCAGCTCACAGTGGTGCTGGTAATGGGGACACCTGAGAAGAAAATGGCAGAAGGATCTGGCTGTGTTTTAGGTTGTATATTATTACCCCAGAGGGGGAAAAAGAACCTCTGTATTAAAAGGACTCTCCACTTGCAGAGGGAAGTGCTCAGATGTTAGAAAATGCCATAATTAAGATTTCCTGTGACATTTTATTTCAGTTCCCTTGTGCATATACATTGCAATTGTCTCTAATTATACGTTCACATGCTATTTTTTCCATTCAGTGCACAGAATGGCCTTTGCTCCACTAACAAGCAGCTACTTTAAGTATGTTTTTATTTTCTTATTCTTCCAAGTAGGGCCCCATACCTTATTAACTGTGCAAGAGCTCAGAACCTGGTCTGAAATTGAAAGGATCAATTCCTTGCTCAGCTTTTGCAGGGTATCAGACACTACAGTGGGAGAACAGTTAACATCTATTAATTCATTCACACCACCCTTCGGGGCATGGCAGCACCGTGCTCCCTAATTTAGACCTTCGAAAAAAAAGTTGTGGCTACTGTTTTTTGAATTCCTGGACAGCAGAAGGTCTGGTTCAGGCAGAGATGTAGGTCTACCGGAAAAAGATACTGGCTGTGCCCTGCATCAGGAAAAGCCCCTGGAGGAAGATTAATGCTTGGCTGCACTCTGCATCAATGGATGGAGAGTTATGGGCAATATCGATGCCTCAGTGTTATCATATATGTGTATAAAGTCTTCAGCTCCCACTCATGGCCCTCTCAGAGATGAGTTTTCCCATTGCCCACTCCCCACATTGTATCTGTTGAGCTGAACATTAGCTTTCATGAAATCATTCGCCCATGATGACATTCGCCAACCCTTGCAGCTTCCCCAGGACTCTCTAAACACCTCATCCAACACATCAGTGAAATGTGGATGACTTACCAGTCTGTGCCTTCAGCTAAATACCTGGGCTGGGGACCCATGGGTTGTGGAGTTTGCAGTTGGTGGCTGAAGTCGAAGCTGGGGTGTAGGCGATGAGGCTGAACCGACACGCGCTCTTGAGCCCGCCTGAGGGGAGGAGAAGACCAGCGAGCCAGTTAGCCACGCAGCAGGCACCGGTAAGGATGGCTGCTGCTCTGAGTCACTGTCCATAAACTGGAGGAAAACTCAAATGCCTGGTCTTCTGAATACATGCCCAAGAGAAAAGAGTCCAAGCAGGTGTCAGGAACGATGGAAAGAGGAATCCAGAGATATGTCATTTACTTCTGGTCACCATGAACATAGCACAGACCTCCCGTACCCCCTGAAGCATCCACATACATTCTGTTTACAGGAAATTCTATTTGGTGGCAACATGGAGAGAAAAAGAAGAAGCCAAACAACTTTTTTCTTAGCAGCTTTCTGCCATTTGCACTATTTTCTTTTTATCCACTGTCAGTCCCATAAACAACACAGGAGATAAAATGTGCCTCTGCTTCTGCCATTACCCATCATCATAAAGAAACTGCAGGTTGTCTCATCTCCCCATGCAGTCCATAAACTCCAGGGGAACCTCATTCATAACAGGATTACTCAGGAGTAACTGAAAGCAGAATTTACTCTCACTGGCCTTTGCCAGCATTTCTGTGGATGATGGACAGGCCAGGCTGGGATCCAGCTCCTTCTCTCCCAGCTTTGCTGCCTTGCAGGCAGGGAAGGGAAAGCAGTAGAATATATAGCAAGGTTTTTCTAAGGATTTGAGTCTCTTCTCATGATTATTGCACATTTGAACTACTTAAGGGAAGAGCATGTGCTGCTTGCTCAGAGTGCACATTTGGAGAGATACAAGGTGGGTGCACAAGCAGGATTTGCACTACAAACAGAACCATACCCCTGGCTCCCTGCTGAGTCCCTGCTTACCAGCAGAGCCATCACAGAGCAAAGCTATGGGAAAACACTAGAACAAATGGAGCATGGAACTGCTAGATGAAGAATTTTTCAGGCAGCCACAGCTCAGAGACTTCACTTTTGAAGACACGACCCAGATTCCCATTACTGGGACCTCGTACCCCACACCTGTAAGGTTTCCAACATCCTCCTCCAATGCAGCTGTGATTTTAGAAACAGGCTGTGGGGCTGGACAAGAGGTTCCTGCCCTTTTCCACACCACAACCCACTTGCAAATGTAACACTGACAGCATTTAGCAAAGCAGCTTCTGCGTGGAAATGTGCTCCGTGCTTTTATTTGAATTCAGCTTATGACTAAGAGATAAACACTTGTATCACCAATGCCTCAGCCTCGCACATATTTGATACCCAATGATTAACTAATCATTAAATCCACCTAAAATCCAGCTTATGCAAAACAAAACAAGGATAAGAAGAACACACACAATTTTCAGACAGAAATGGTATGGAAAGGACGGGTTTTCTGTCTGCAGCATTCTTTCCAAATGAAGCATTATCGCAAAGATTCATCCTCTGATTCTTGATCCATGGGTACAACCCACAAATAGCTTCCATATGTTTCCAAAAAAAGCACTCCTCTCCTACATGCTACCTAAACCCCTCTCTCAAGAAACACAATCAGAACAAAGCCATGCATCCATTTCCACCTCTGCCGCGTTACAGTCGTTCTCTCTGCAGCCATCCTCCCAGTCTGAATTTAGGCTGCTTTCTGTGATTGAACGTGCTGCAGGTCAGCGGCATCTTTCCCTCATGAAGTTGGGAAGCCTACCTAGACACCGAGCAGCAAGTTCTTCGTGTGTAAAACCTGAGGGATGGGTGGAATGGTTTTGAAAGAGCAGCTATGAGGAGGTAGGTAGCTCATGCGTGCAGCTATCTGTCATGCAGGATGGGTTTGCTGCAACACCACGGTCTTACCATCGTGTTGTTATCATCCTATAGGTCACCTGGGGACATGCCAGAGCATGGTATGGATCCCCATGGAAAAAGTACACCCACAGATGCAACCTGCCCTGCAGCTTCCCCTCTAGTGGGTGAATTTTGGGGACACGTAGATGAACATGTGAAGAAAACCCAACACCTCCAGCACGTAGTGCCGGGGTTTTGCAGAAGCCACTCTGCTGCCGTGGGGCTGATGTAGCTGCTCGGCATCTTTCAGATGAGACCCCCTTACCTGGGATGGGGCATGAGCCGGCGGTGCTGTGCCTCGAGGAGCTGCTGCTGGAGGAGGTATTGCTGGTGAAGCGCCTGAGGTAGGAAGGAGGGTCCGGCCACATCCTGGAAGGGCAGGGCTGGCACCGGTGCCAGGGGCTGGTGCAGGGGGCCGCTGTGCTGGTGC